ACCGGGTCGCAATGGCCAACACCCGTGCCTACCTGCCCCTTGGCTTTCACAGAGCCCGTCCTTTTTGTAACAGTCTCGGCTTTTTATCGGCCGTACCAAGGAGTCACCTCAGCACCCAGACAGGACCGCTGAAATCAGCGGGGTGCACCTATCCTGTGCAGGGCAGTAGGGAAACTCTCAAAGAGGCGATAATAATCCCGGACGAGCCCCCAAATTGTTGGAAATAATCCAAGTAATTTTGTCAGGACGGTATCTCTGATAAAAGCAGAATTTATTCGCGATTGCAATGGCGGGCGTCCCGCAAGCAGGAGTGCACCTATGGACACAACATGACAGCCTCTATACCCTGTTTTCTCCCCCTTGCCTCCCCCTCCCCTGTTTCCCCAATGGCTGGGTACTCCAAGTTCACAATCTTATCAGAAGGTTTACATTTGCTATTTACTTGTTAATTTATTTGTTATCTGGTGCCAGTCAGCAGTCATCCTGTTGTTTCCAAGATGTCTCAGTGCTCTCCTTGACCTACTGATATGGTGATTTTCTTTAAAGTCATCATCGTTAAACAAAGAGCTCTGGGGGATGATGTCAGTCCTTCCCAATGTCTCTTCAGGCGCTTCCTCGGGCATGCCATGACTTGTTCTCTGGTTTGCTCTCGTGCAGGATATTCTTGCAGTGTGTGTGACAAAATATACATATATACACATATATACAGAGTGCGTTCCTGGGAAGGTTCGTCTATAAGATAAGTGATGTAAACTTATCAGAGATCTTCCCCAAGTTAAGTAGAGGGACTCCCAAAAAGAACTGTGATAGCAGAGATCATAAAATAAAAATAATATTATACAATTCTAATGCAGAAACAACACTTGATTCCCACACCTCCCCATTCCCGGGAAGCCCGCAGTTTCCCTTCGGGGACCCAGCAGGCAACATCTGCCTCTAGCGGTCCTTTCAGAGTTACCTTTTGTGCGCTTAGCACTGGGCTGATGGCTCACCTGGGGATTGTGCAAACCGCTCCCAAGGCTTCTGTTCAGGCTGTCCCTGCAGATGCCTTTAGCACACAGCTGCAGACCCTGAGCACGTCCAACACCTGCGCCAGCCGTAGCACTGGGCTGTGTAATAGGAGCTGTAAAGCTGAGAGCGTGTGGGCTGACTGGAGCACACGTTGAGAACGCGCCCGAGCAGCACGTCAGTAAACTGCAGCCCAGGCTGCCTCGTGCAAAGGGCGCACGGTGCTGAGAACCGTGCCCTGAAGTGAGCGCGGTGTGCGTGCTGAGATCAATGGGAAGCGGCGCCCCCTGGTGGGAAAACATGGAGATGCCGCCGTTGAGGCAATCTTTCGGCAATGAGGGACTTGGGCTTTTTTTTTTATCTTGGAGAACAGAAGGCACTGGGGAGACCTCCTTCTGGCCTTCCAGGATTTGAAGGAAACATATAAACTGCAGGAGAACGGCTGATTGCGAGGGTGGATAGCGATGGGGCAAGGGGAATGGTTTTAATTTGAGACAGAGGAGATTATTTTAGACATCTGGAGGAACTATTTTACTCTCTGAGTGGGTGGTGAGGCACAAGAACAGGTTGCCCATAGAGGATGTGGATGCCTCATCCTTTGGGCCTCTGGGATGTGGCTCAGAGCAGACTGGTCTGCTGGATGGTGTCTCTGCACATAGCATTTTACTGAAACAAGATGGTCATTGTGGTCCTTTTCAACCCCGGGTATTCCCTGATGATGTGATTACCTTCAGATAATCACTCTAACAAAACACCTTAGAGAAGCTCAGGAAGCTCCAAACTAACCATGAGTCTCTTACAGAAGATCTGTGTCAGCCAGGTGTCTTGACATGAAGCCAAGTGGGATCTCTGTACAGATGTGGCCTTGAGAGCCATCCCTGATTGTGGGGAGATCCTGTCGAGCAGCCCATTGCTGTGCAGGAGAGCTCAAGGGGCACTTGGGCTGCTCCCTGTTTAGGGGTAAGATGACTGCCTCCTTGCTATGCATTGTCTTTAGGCACACAGTCCATGTATTCTCGCCTGTTGAACCGGGTGTCAGTTCTTTGTGCCACCCAGTTGGAGTCAGCTTTGTGATTTGTAATCAGCTGTAGGCAGAGCGTTACCAGTGCTGTTGCTGCTTGTGTTCCTGTGCAAGGCCTGCTGTGCCATCCCCCAGGCAGTGCCCTGCAGATGGGCTGTGGAGGGCTGGGCTGGGACAGGGACTGCTGCGTTCCCTCACAGCTCCCCTGCCATTTCTCTTGTCCCTGCAGGCTCCAGTTCAACTTCTGCCTTCCAGCCACGATCATCTCAGCAGAGGAGAGCAGCAGATGGCCACAGCACATGCATCTCAGGTAGGGGCTGGGGGAAGCAGGCAGGAGAGGCTGAGGGGCGAGGGATGTGAATGCAGGGGGAGCGGGAGGTGGCCTCAGCCAGCGTGTGTGTGCTGGGGCCAGAGAAGTGGCTGGGACAGGAGTTTGTGTCCTGTTTGAGCTGCTTCCCTGGGCCTTGGCTGTTCCCAGCAAGGAGCCTCTTTGCTTGCAGGAGCCCGTGAGCTTTGCGGAGGTGGCCGTGTATTTCAGCAGGGAGGAGTGGGCGCTGCTGGACCCTGCGCAGCGAGCGCTGTACCGGGACGTGATGCTGGAGACGTACCAGTGCGTGGCCTCGCTGGGTGAGGGCTTTGCTGCCTTTCCTCCTCGTTAGGGCACCTCTGGCTGTGCAGAATGAGCCTCTGCAGGCTGGGCATAGAATAATTGCCATGCAGTTACATATTGATAACAGCAACAAAGGAAATACTGAGAAGCATGAGTAGCAGGAGGGATTAGTATGCACAGCAGACTCATAAACGCCCCAGAGTCAGTTTTGGCAAGCAGGCATCAGCTTGGAGAAGGAGAACCAGCTCCCTGCAAACAGCCCTTGTGTTGCTGCATTGCATGGTGCCACCAGCCCCAGTGGACAGACCGCTTCCAGATTGTTTCCTCTGCATTTTTTGCCTCTATATTCCATTCCCATGAACATTCTTGAACCCTTGGGCCTTGAGCTGTTTGGAAAATATTAAAGGAAACGTTCTAATGGGTATTTGATTGCCCACTGTTATTATGGCCCTTATCTTGTTTTCATCACGGTGATGGATGTACTGCAAAGTTGCTAGACAAGCGGCTGTGCCAGATTCTGGGAAACACTCTTATCTCCATATTTCTTCCATTGAAGCTCCACCTCGAGCCTCCAAACCCATGGTGATCTCCCTGCTTGAAAGAGGGGAAGACCCCTGGATCCCAGATGTGCGTAGCCCTGAGGCCGTGCCAGGAGACCTCAGCCCAGGTGAGGTGGTGGAGGGAAGAAGTTTGGGGCTGTAAGAGACATCTCTGTGTTTTATTTTGGGCACCGTGTGCTATTTCTGGATTTCCTCTTTCATCCAGCAGGAACTGGGATTGCAGATATGCTGGAGGACCTGCAGGAAAGTGGTGTGGCCGAATGGCAGTGGGGTGGTGTCTGTGTGGAAGAAATCAGAAGGGATGTCCAAGGACGCCTGGAGCAAGGTCAGGTTGAGCACATCATGGAGCCACTGGGAATTTGTCTACAAAAGACAGGAAGGAGCCCACTGGCCTTCAACATTTGTCAAAAGGAGCCTGAAGAACGCAGGAGCAAGGATGTGTGCCAGCAGAAAAAGCAGAATCCATGCACTGAGTGTGGAAATAGCTTTGAAAAAGATTCCGCCGTTGTTAACCACCAGTGCATACACTCAACAGAGAGCCTATACAAGTGTTCTTATTGTGGGAAGAGCTTCAAAAAGAAATCCCAACTCGCATACCACCAACGCATCCACACAGGAGAGAGACCCTACAAGTGCTGTGAGTGCGGGAAGTCAGTAAAAACCCGTTCCCACCTCACATACCACCACCGCTTGCACACAGGAGAGAGACCCTTTAAGTGCTCTGAATGTGGGAGGAGCTTCAAAAGTAGTTCTGAATTGAAGCTGCACCAGCGTATACACAAAGGGGAGAGACCCTACAAGTGCTCTGAGTGTGTGAAGAGCTTCAAAAGTAGTTCTGAATTTAAGCGCCACCAGCACATCCACACAGATGAGAGACCATATAGGTGTCCTGAGTGTGCAAAAAGCTTCAAAAGCAGTTCTGAATTGAAACGCCACCAGCGCATGCACACAGGAGAAAGACCCTATAAGTGTCCCGAGTGTGGGAAGAGCTTCAGAAGGAATTCTGAATTGAAGAGCCATCAGCACACGCACACAGGGGAGAGACCCTTCAAGTGTCCTGAGTGTGAGAAAAGCTTCAAACGCAGGTCTAATCTCAACATCCACAAGCACATCCACAGCGCACACAGGCTATAGAAGCATCCCCAGGATACGGGGAACCTTCAGAAACAGTTCCAGCCTCAGTATCTACCAACACAGCCACACAAGACACAGAGCCTGCAGAGCTCCTGGCAACAGTTTACCGGCTGGTTTGGCCCAGTTCCGTGACCAGCGGGGTGGAGGGATTTCATAAAATCTGTGCCTCTGGAAAAAAGGGAAACAGGGGATCCCAAAAAAATTAAAAACAGCAGGAACGACCTGAGGAGAAACAAACTGATTTACTCAATGTAGTATCGGAATGCAAGATAACACACCATAATACAATATAATAAGAATTGAAGCTAATAAATAAAATATAATGAGAGAGAGAATGTCCGAAAGGTGGGTAGGCCTCACCACAATGCTGAGGTAAGATGCACAGTCCAGTTGAGCAGCAGGGAGATGGGAGGAGAGCCGACAAAGAGCAGATGAAAAAGAGCCCATCAGGTGACCTTGCCAGGAGCTCTATCTCCTTCCTGGCCGTGCTGCACATTGGTTCTACTACTCTTCTCAAATGCTTTGAACAGCTGGTCACAGCAGCTGTGTGACATCAAGCCTTGTCTGCCTCCAATAAAGCTACAAAAAGCTGAGCTTGTTCTTCCTAAATGCACCGTCCCATGTTTCAGGAGGTGGATTGAGCAGAAGGCAGTACAAAACCTCAGGGTGCACAAGCAGCTCATCCCCACAGCACAGAGATATCAGAGTGCTCTCCAGTGTGTGCTTGCCTTGCAAGTGATCCCTTCTGAGCTTGAAGGTTTTTGATTTGACCCTGGCAAGGTGTGTCTGAGATCTCCCACAGCAGGGCCTTCACATTTGCTGCGCTCAGCTAAAGCTGCTATGCTTGGAATGCAGTTGGCAGGAAGTGGAGGTTGTGATTGGTGAGCTAGTGAAGCTTTTTTTTCCATTTTTATTTCCTAAAATTATCAATTTAATGGTAGGTTTCCCCCCAATGTTTTGTCACACATCTTATTTAGTTGGATTAGGAGTTAGAAAACTCAGCTTTTTGTCTGCCTCTGAACTCGCCATCTTTCCCTCTGCTCTGGGGAAAGTCCTTCTGCTGCAGACATGAACCCCTGCATAGTTGTGACTGCAGTGCCCCAACTGCAGGAACAGGAGCATTTCTGATTCCGCAATGGTTTGTTTTCCTTGTGGTGGTGGAAAAGGAGGGGGACTTCCATTCTCGGTGTGGATGTCCACTTGGGAGGCTTTGTCTTGGTGAATTCTACCAGTAGTTGCATCCACCCCACGGAAAGCTGTGCCCTCTGTGTCATAGGTCACCTCTGCACCCATGGAATCAACA